GCTATAAGTTCAAGTAGGATATTGCAGTTTCAAAACATACAGAAAAAGTTACCTGCGCTCTCTCCTTAACCCCTTAAGGACACAGCTTCAGAAGCTTGTCTTACGCTTAATGACACAAGCAATTTTTGCATTTTCTTGCTGTATGCGTTCAACTGCAATTTGCATCACTCTTGTTTATTGCACCGACACATATTATATACTGTTTTTTAAAGGACAGAAAGGGCTTTAATTTGATGTAAGATATATGTAAATGCTTATTTATTATTAAAAAAAATACAGAAAAATACAAAAAAAGAAAGAAATTTTGTTTTTTGTACAGTTTTTGCAATAATAATGTGTGCCTAATTAGTGCAGATTAAAGAAAGTAATTAAAAATAAATTCATTTAGTTGTTCTGATTTACAGAATATATAATATGTCTGGGATTTTAAGTTTTTTTTTGGTAGTTACAGGTCACAAAACACAATGAGTAAAATAAACTTTTAATGTGGAGCGATTTTCGAATTCGGTATGTTTGTCTTCTAAGCTTAATAGCCATAAAAGAAAACAAAATTGCCACACAAAAGTATATATTCATATAAAGTAGACATCACAGGCTGTTGTCCTTAAGTTGTTTTTATACTTTCTAAGTAGCCATTTCACCGCCAATGGAGTAAAATTTTGTTTTTTGAGGTTTTTGGCACACAAACTTATAACAAAGAACTTCTCATGTGTATTTTGTAAAGTTGGTGTGTGCTATTTCTGTACAAAGTTTTTTGTGTTTAGTTACTTCTGCTGAGTACAATGATACCCCCATTGTATGTCTTTTGCACTATTTTGTGAAGCTACAGTGCCATATAGGAGACCTGTCCGTTTCAACATTTACAGTAGAATTTTGAGAGGCGGATTTAATGGGCCTATGCTTCAATTTGGGGTATTATAGCAGTTTGACTGTTCAAAAAAACTCCACAAAGGCCTACCATTTGTAAAGGTAGACACTCCAGGGTATCTCATATGGTGCATATTGTGCCTTAACATGCCCCCATTTTTTCACAAATATATGCCAAAGTATGTGGTAAAAAATAATTTTGGGCATTTTTTACATATGGTTACATTTTTGCTGGGCATTTTATACATTTCATATGTGCCACTAAGTTCAAACCCCCCAAATTATGCTCAACTAAGTCTTCTGAGTAAAACAATATGCACAGTGTATGACCTAGACACTATTTTGTGAAGTTACACTGCTGTAAAAGAGACGTGACAAGTTTAAATGTGAATTTTCATGGAGGGTTTTGATGCGTTCGTGTCCCACTTTGGAGCACTTTAGCAGGCTACATATTACAACTACACCATAAAGGCATACCATTTCTTAAAGAACACATCCCAGGGTATTTCAAAAGGCATATTTTAAACCTTAGCGTGGGATATATTTTCCAGTAGCTTGTACCAAGTGTAGTGGTAATAAGTGTCTTTTTGCCTTTTTGACACACAACGTGAGTTTGCACAGTATATTTTGCAAATTGTATGTGTGCTACGACTGTATATTACTTCATATGTTGCTCAGCTATGTCGGCTGAGTACAGCAATACCCCCGTATGTACCTTTGCCAGGTATATATGGACATTGAAGGGGCACAATTGAGACACAGCCATTCCAGTTTTTTTCCAACTTTGAATTTTTACGCTGTGTCCATGTCCCATTTTAGAGTATTTTACAAGGCTATATAATCCAATTACACCATAAAGGCATATCATTTCTTAAAGGGTAATTCAAAAGGCATATTTTGAACCTTAGCGTGGGATCGTTTTTTCCGCTAGCTTGTACCAAGTGTAGTGGTAATGAGCATTTTTTAATGTATTTTTTTACTTTGTAAAACCCATTTTTAAACATTTTCTTTTACTTATTAAATGTTTTACATTTTCTTAACTTTTTTTACACTTTTAAATTTTTTTCTAAACTTTTCTTTTACCGTTAACCCCTAACTAGCAGTAAGCAGCGCTAACAGTAAATTCCGCCCTTTCCCATAACTCCCACCCACTCCAGCTAGCAAAATATATATAATTATAAAATATTTAAATTAATTAAATAAATTGAACCCCTGAGGGTTAAAAAATAAATAAAAATGAATCCTTAGGGGTTAAAAGAAATTAGATTACAGTATAATACTGTGATCTGTATTTTGATCACTGTAGGCAGTGATCAGCTGGCAGGGAAGGGGTTAATTTTTATTTAGACTGGGTAAAGGGGGTGGTATTTCTTTTTTTTTTTACTTAAATGTTACTAAAACATTTTTCTAAAACTTTTAAGCTTATTTTCAAAGTTTTTTTTAACGTTAACCCCTAGTTAGCCTAACACCATATTCCTCAATTCCCTACTAACTTCCACCCATCCCAGCTAGCTAAATTTAAATATTTAAATTAATTAATAAAATAAATGTAACCCCTGAGGGTTAAACAAAATAATAATTAACCCTCAGGGTTAATCCGATGACATTAAAATGTATACCCTGCCAATTGATCACTGTAGTCAGTGATCAATTGGCAGGGAAGGGGTACATTTTATTAAAGCAGGGGAAATGACAATCTCCTATCGTCCTCCCCCAGCCCCCACCCCTGAGCTGCGGGTGGGGGCCCTAAATGAAAATGTGGGTGGGGGACCTATTATCCTCCCCCCGGCCTCCACCCCTGATCGGCAGGTGGGGGCCCTAAATGTCCTCCACCCCAGACCCCACCCAAGAGCAGCGAGTAGGGGCCCTAAATTATAATAATGGGGGGACCTATATGTAAATACGCTCCCAGGTGACTAGGGATCCCCAAGCCCCTAGTCACCACCCCCATTCAAACAAAATGTAATAAATACCTACCCCCCTCACCCAAAAAATAGTGAGGGGGGACCAATAAAACTAAATCCCTGTAAATAAGAAATAACTTACCATTTGATGTCTTTTTTCTAAGATCTTATTTTTTTCAGCCCCAAAAAAGGGAAAATAAAAATCCATAATACCCGTTGAACTTTGAAAATAAAATAAAAAACCTGAGCGGCAAAAAATCAGATGGAAAAAAAACCTGACGCTATAAAAGTAATCCATCTTCACCCAGCGAGGCACAGCACAGACTGAGCTTCGCAGGGTGGGGAAAGGCTTATAAAGCCTTCACACACCCTGCAATTAGGCTCAGAGCGCTCTGATTAGTTGGCTTAAGCCAGTCAGAGTGCTCTGACAGGTAAGTCTCTACATTTACCTGTCACAGCACTCTGATTGGTTGGCTTGTATTCCAACCAATCAGAGTGCTCTGTGTCATTTTAGACAGAGTGGGAAAGTTCTTTGGAATTTTCTCATGCTGTGTAATTTGACTCATAGCAACACTCTGACTCATAGCTCCCTCCTTGTAATAAACCAAACAAACGAACGAAGAGGTCTTCATTCATTCATTTGAAATTTCTATTCATTTATTCATCTTTCTGACAAATAAATTAATAGATGAGATTCCCGTTCGCATGCCCAAGTGTTTAATTGGGAATTTCACAGCACTATGTTGTGTGGCCACAGGGACTTCATCTACCCACACAAAAACGGCAGTGCCCAGGACCTAGGTCCGGGCACAAAATAAAGATACAAAAATAGGTAATATGGGGGGCTTAGGGGTATTTGGGGGTGACTAGGAAGACAATTAGATGTAGTGAAGTCGGGAGGGGGGTTAAAAAAAAATGTGATTCGGCCATGACAGTGCCGCTTTAATGTATTTCATAGGTTTTTGTTTCATTAATATGATGCATGCACAAAATCTTTATAGTTTTGCACAAAAACAATGCTTTGCAGAATGCTGTACTACAAACCTTTATTCACAGACTTGAAGATGCCAAAAATATAGCTTGCTAATAAGTCCAAAACAAAAATCAAATACATTAAAGTTGTGTTGCTGCCCAGAGTATCTATATAATTTGCCAAGTTTACTGAGCAGGTTACTCTGTAGTCAATAGAAAGGTTCATTCTACAGAAATACTTTCAAAGAGTGGATATTCCCAGCTAATATTAAGTTAACAAAATAACTCACATTTGCTATGGAAAGAAAACTTCTTGTATATAATAAGTTTTTTTGAGAGAGAGCAAAAGTACATATTTACATAAATGAATGAAGTAATAGTACCAAAATAAAATACATTCAGTTATATAGTTATACGATAATTGAAGATTATATTAGCTTTAGTGTACTAATAATCTTAATTTTAGTAATGACAGGAGGCGAATATTTGCATATCTATCTTTACTCAAAACTCCAGCAGCATAGTAACATAAACAACCAATCAGAAAAAAGATATAATGCCCATAAAAGGCCCTGTCTATGACATCACTTCCTCTTTCTTTGAAGCGAAACAATAAATAACAACAAGAGACATAATCATATTACGTCAACAGTTCAACAACATATTAGAATATCCAACTCCATTAGTTCCACGATGCAGAGGTATGGAAGGTGAATCTTTGTCTCGATGAGAAGACGTTCACGCTGCAAGAAAAAGAAAAAGGTGAAAGGTATCTGGCGTGATAACTTGTCCGCATACAATAAGCATTAAGCATCTGATATACCAACGAACATTAGAATGTGAAACATATCAATATATATTTATTCTAACGCAATGATATTTAAGAATATATAAACACAACATAATGCAAGGTTCATGTCTAGTATTCAGCCAATACAAGACCCACAAGTTACAGGTCTAAGTAGCAAACATACAAACCATACGTACTTACCTTCCTGAACATAAAGGACATATTCTGTTCAACACGAGAAACATGGGAGGGATTCTATAGGGTGGGAAATATTCGCCTCCTGTCATTACTAAAATTAAGATTATTAGTACACTAAAGCTAATATAATCTTCAATTTTACCACATGACAGGAGGCTTCATATTTGCATTTTTAAAGCTTTGAATTGACCAATGTGAAGGAAGCATGAGATGTTTGCCGAAAATAGAACGTTCTAAACGTACTCTCTCGCGCTCAGTCCGCGCAGCGTATAATGTCGGCTAGGGAAGCGTCGGCCGAAAAGGTTTGTGAGGCCGCCGCTCCCCTGACCGAGTGGGCTCCGAAACAAGGTTCGACGCTAAAGACAAAAACCAGCGGACCCATCTGGCCAGTGTTGCGGTAGACACCGGTCCATGAGGGTTCACGTAAGAAGTCAGAAGGTGATCCGTCGAATGAGTTCGAAGGGGGTAGAGATATTGGTGTACCCCATTAGCGTTCTGACCACGCATAGTGAGGCGTCTGACACAAAGCATGGGTATGACTCTGAAGACGAAACAGACTTAGTTCATCTCGACATGGTAAAGGTAACCCCGTCTGGTGTGAGAGAGAAACCATCCATATCGCAAGCCCTAACGTCCGCCACCGTCTAAATGAGGCGAGGCATAATAAGAGGGCTAGTTTGGCTGAAAGTTGCTTCAGTGACAAACATTCCCGGCCATTCCCTAAGGAATCTCAGCACCACATCCACCTGCCAGAGGCGTGAATATTTGGGTGCAGGGATCTCGACAATTCGACACCCCACAGTAGTCGACAAACCAGTGTATCTTGACCTACTGGTCTGCTCCGTGCGCCGCCGATACCTGCGTATATCGGCGGATCTGATCACGTTGAGGGATCGATATGACCGACCCAACGAGACCAGGTGTGACGGATAGTTGAGGGTCAGTGGGACAGGTGCGGTAAAGGGATCGGAATCCCTTTCCACACACCACTCACTCCAGGCCGACCAGGCAGAAATATAGCCTTTCCTGGTGCCGGGAGCCTATGAGTCCCATAGGAGGTCTTAGTTGATGCAATAGGTTGTGAACTGACCAGGAGCCCCTGAAGCCGTCCAGGCAACTAGTGCCAGTTGTCCTTCCATGACAAGGGAGTGGGCTTCCCCTCGAGGTCCCGTCAGAAGTAGAGGGAAGGTAGGGAGTAGTAGAGGGTCTCCGCGAGACATCTCCAGGCGATCCGGGAAATCACGGTTGGCCCTGCCCGAGGGGTATCATGAGCAGGAGCGATATCTTGTGGGTGTGTGTGGGGGTTCATCCATCACCCCGTATCCGAAGGAAGAGTCAAAGATCGTTTTGCCAATCCAAGTTTGTATGTGAAGTAATCACCATCGAAATTCCATCCTCACTTCCGCTGACAGTGGGATCCAGTGGTCGTATGAGTGACCGGTGCGTACGTATCTCACCATCAGTCGTAGTGGGCCAGGGAATAACGCTTGTATGGAGGAGGAGAGGAATCTCACAATCCGACAGCTATCCTTATAGAGGCGCTCTTTGCCGTAGACGGACGCGGAACTTAGTTCTCCAAGCCGATGTCGAAACCGAGGAACTGGCCCGATTCAGATGGAGAAGCGATCTTTGTCTGTGTACAACAAAAAACCCATGGAGTCCCGAAAGTGAACGACAAAATTTGTCTGCAAACGTAGCCTGGATTCGTAAAGAATCAGCAAGTCTTCCAGGTATACGAGGCATCGCACGCCCAAATTTACGGATGTGTGCCCTCACTGGTTACAGTAGGTTCGCGAGCACCACGGAGTCGTAAACTGCCGTGTTTGTCCTCACCATTGGAATCGGAGGAAAACTTCGGCAGTCCAGGGCAACGGGTACTGACAAGCGTGCGTCCTTGAGGTCCAGATGTGTAAACCAGTCGTTATCGCCTAGGAGGTCTTGTAGAAGACGAATTTCCTCCATCTTGCAGCATTTGTATACCATGTAGGAGTTCCATTGATGTAGTCTCCTGGCTTCTTCTTGACCAGGAAAAATTTGCTGGGGAAGCCTTCCCCTCCGGTGCATGTTGAATTGCGCCCCTCCTGAAGAGGGTGCAGATTTTCTTGTCCACGAGGCGTTCCTGTTCCGCCAGCGTGCGTAATGGAGGTGAAGGGGCGACCTGCACGGCTGTGATAAAACTCTATGACATAGCCTTGTACTGTCTGGAGAACCCAGGTGACTTTGGTAGTCGTCTCCCAATTCTGTAAAACAGAGACAGGTTGCCGGTCATAATATTGGAAACAGTTAGTTATGTAGGTTGACACACTAGTAGATGAAGCGGATGGGTTCCTTTGTGTATTAGATGGGAGAAATATGAGGACCGTGTATACGATCTGGAACCTGTCGCCCAGAAGCGGCTGGTGGCTCGGTTCAGTTACCGACCAGTCCTCCCAGAAACACCTTTCCCCGTAGGGTTGTGGAAGACTTGTTTTAGCGAGGTCTGGGTTTAATTTAGTGTGGTGAATAAATTCACGTGTTTCTTGAATACTGCAATGAACACTACGTCGAATAGTAGGCCTTGTGCTTTTGGGCCGAATTCTTGTCGTTCCTAAGTCCAATAGTGTGTTGTCGATGCGGCCAAGTACAGATTTGCGTCTGTCGGCGCATAGTGCGTCATTTACGTTGCCCAGGAGGCATATCGAGCATTAAGACCGTTCTTTGGAGGTGGTAGGGTTGAGTTGTGTACCCTGGGGTAACTCGGTCTTGAGGCGTGCGCATCCTTCCATCCCCCGAGGGTTGCGCAGCCAATAGTGTTCGTCCAGGAACGTTCCGTCTTCGGCTACTCTGGTTTAGTGCCGTTACAGTTATCTCTGTCTCAGCCACCGTCCCAGAGTAAGGTTTCCCTAACGTACTTCGAGGAAGTGTGGGGAAGGTCTTGCCGTTCCATTTCCTCAGACGGTGGGCTGTCTTCGTGTCGCTCATCTACCATGTCCAAAGTACGTGGTGGGTAATAGTCTTCTTGGTCGGAAGATTGTGGCGGACGGGGTTTGGATTCCCGGTGCTCCGCCTATTTGGTCTGTTCGATGGGCGTCTTGCCCTTGACCTTAGTGGCAGGGGGCTGGAGCCCTTCCCTTGCCGTTTTGACTTGAAGGCTTGTGGGCCTGAGGTCTCCATCAAGCGGTGTGGGGTAGAGTTCATAACAGAACCTTCTCCACTGAGGCCGTTACTGTGGCGTGTATCGTTGCCTAGAAATCTTGGGAACGTTGAGAGTGTCCACCATGACTCGTTCCCGTCCTGTTGTGAGATAGTGTGAGGGTCAGCACATAGGGGTGTTAGACTCCTGGTAGAACTGGGGATCACCCAGGTAAAAACAGTTTGAATTGCCTGCTTTAGTATGTCTGAGAGTATGAATACTCGTGCCAAGTGTAGAGGGGTCACCTCTATTAGTTTAATCTGGCTACTGAGAGTCGTGGTGCAGGCGGTGACTGGTAGTGGTGTCGGTCTGGCTAGCCGGGTTCACCACAAATGTACGCCAGAGCTGTATGCACGGTTTTTAACTATACAGGCTTAGTATATAGGCGCATGGGGCCTGTCTCCATAAGGTCTGCAGCCGCAGGACCCATGTCTATTAGGCTGGGTTCATCCCAGGTGGTGTGCCATGGTAACCCAGAGGACACCCATATTATAATTATTGGCACCTTACAAGCATTGCATGCATATCTGGGGGTCATCCCAGGTGGTGTGCCATGAAAAATTACCCAGAGGACACCCACGTTCAATATGTACACTAGGCACAGTAAATATACATATATGTATCCCTGTGAAGGGTACACCGCAATACACTCAGTTTTCTTAGTGATCCTGCCGTCAAAACGCATCCGGCATGGTATTGTTGCTTTAATGTAAAACTGACAGGCAGTGTGGCGTAGGCCTCCGTGCATATGATCGGGGTTCACCCCGGGTGGTGTGCCATGGTAGCCCAGAGGACACCCACATCAAAGGTAATGGTCTGTCAGTGACCTTGCATGCATATCTGGGGGGTCACCCCAGGTGGTGTGCCATGAAAAAATACCCAGAGGACACCCACATAAATTTGCACCGTCAGGTACAGTAATATAATATGACCCTCTGTAGGGTACAATAATATAATATAATATGCCCTTTGTAGGGTACAGTAACACAATATGCCCTTCGTAGGCTACAGTGATATAGTTGATCTTGTTATAGGCACAGTATATGTTTTGTATAACGACTGTGATATTGTATGGCTTCACAATAATACATAGATTGTGTGCCTGCTCAACATATAATCATCCAGTGTAAGGCACCATGAGAGATATATCCATGAGAATAAAATATAATAATTGTATCAATAAATGAATGTGCCCAGAGAGGGGGACCCCTGAAGGGGTTAATCCAGATGCAGGGCGCGGTGATCGGGTGATTCCTGTAGGGTATAGAAATATAGTATGACCCTGTGCAGGATATAGTAATATGGTATGACCCTGTACCTAACTCTGATCTTGTGGAGAGTATAACAGTATATAGTATAACCCTAATTGGGGTATATTAACTGGTATGACCCTAAGCAGGGTATAGAGACATAGAGGTCTTGAGCTGGCAACAAAAAGGGGGTGCTTGTCTCTTTAATTCATATATTGTAAATGCAGCACAGCAGGCAGGCACTGGGCAAAAATATCACCTGCTACACTAATACCCTCCCTAGTACACACTAGGGAGGGTATACAGATGTGGAGCCCGGCGGTCGGGTGAGTTACCGATCCGCCGGGCAAGCGGGGAAGGCGGCCCTCCGGTATCTCGCGAGCCGCGAGATCCAAGATGGCCGCCGCCCGCGTGTGAAGGTGCGCCGCGATCGACCGCGCGGCGCCGGAACGAAAAAAAAGGGGGGAAACGCACACAGCACTGTTCCCAGTCCCCCTCCACCCGTCCCCCTACCGGCCCCCACGAAGAAAAACAGGAAACCGGCCCCATGGCGCACGGCACTGACAGCCGTGCTCGCGGGTATCGGCCGTGGAAAGTAATGGGGGGGGGGGGCCTAAAACCGTGCAGGGACAGGGATAAGGGGACCCGAAAATAAACCCACGAAAAATAAGTAAATAAAAAACAGTAAATTAAAACAATACAGTAAATGAAACAATACAATCAAATATATAGTGAAAACAAAACCAAAAATATGTGAAAACGAAAAAAACAATGTATATAAGCAATTGCCAGAGAGGCAAAATACTCTGACCTGATGTTGGCTGGAGCAGCAAAGAAAGAGGAAGTGATGTCATAGACAGGGCCTTTTATGGGCATTATATCTTTTTTCTGATTGGTTGTTTATGTTACTATGCTGCTGGAGTTTTGAGTAAAGAAAGATATGCAAATATGAAGCCTCCTGTCATGTGGTAAAATTGCAAGGTTAACAGTCAGTGAGAATAATATGAAATTTCTAAGTCAAATTTTGTATACAAGAATAAATGTATAATTGCATTCAATTTTTAATTGCATAATAAACAATCTCCTGAATCAAGGCAAGAGAATACAATATATAATAAAATATTGGCAAGAGAATACAAACCCTTAATCATGTATACTCTCTCTCTAGATTTTTATTTTTAATCTGTTACCATGCACTAAGAGTAAAAAAAAAAATCACTAAAAAGAAAACAGTCATTACAGACCTATTAACATAACAAAGAGACAAAGGATCAAGACAAAACAGAACAGACAATAGAGTATTAACATAGGAAATATAAAGTACAAAACGACATTAGATGAAAAGTTAAAGTTCAAAATAATAGGTAAAGAAAGAAAACATAACAAGGTGCAGGTTAAATTATATAATTTAAGAAATAGCATTGTAGAAAGAGGTAGAAAGAATTAAAAAACAAAAGAGCTTAGAAGTTCTACATCATTCAAATTAGAGGCATAGCAATTGCCATTGTCATTGCTCTCCAAAATATAGATTCACAAAGTTTGTGGTTATAGATTAGTCAAAACTAAATACTTCTTCCACAGGAGCCATTCCTTGTTATGGGCAGGCAATCTTTCAGACTGCTGTTAATTGCTGTATTGCATTTTTCTCAAATGCATTTGGAAATCAAGTAAAGATGTATGCCGGTGCATAGTTTATGGCACAGTCTCCACACTAGCCATGAAAGTCAAGGAGTAGCCGTAGCTTCATTTAAAAGGAACATTTTCGGCTAAGGGACCAATATCAAATGAAGAGGGCAACTAAGGAGTAAACAAAGCTCCCTTCATAGTGCAGCAATCTTTTTGTATTCCCACCACATATGGTAATATGGTAACGAAGCTGAACCAAGTACCACCTGAAGACACATGTATACGGTGGTGTAGATGGATAAATCATTGCAGTTCTCAAATGATTCCTCCAAGTCTCTTTATTCAAATCAGGTCTCGGGTCTCTCTCTCAGAGCATCTGAAAAGCCAGCTTCCCCCATGATATAGAACATGCTATAAAACATACCATACCATAAATAGTGATGTCGCGAACATAAAATTTTCGGTTCGCGGACCGCGAACGCGAACTTCCACAAATGTTCGCGAACCGAGCGAACCTGGCGAACCGCCATAGACTTCAATAGGCACGCGAATTTTAAAACCCACAGGGACTCTTTCTGGCCACAATAGTGGTTAAAGGGGGAGGACCTACTGTCCCCCCGGCCCCCATCCCTGAGTGGTGGGTGGGGGCCCTAAAATTAACAATAAGGGGGGGACCTACTGTCCCCCCTGGCCCCCACCCCTGAGCGGTGGGTGTGGGCCCTGAAATTAACAATAAGGGGAGGACCTATTGTCCCCCACCCCTGAGCGGTGGGTGGAGGCCCTAAAAATAACAATAAGGGGGAACCTACTGTCGCCCCCCCAGCCCCCACCCCTGAGCGGTAGGTGGGGGCCCTAAAATTAACAATAAGGGGGGACCTATTGTCCCCCCCCCGGCCCCCACCTCTGAGCGGTGGGTGGGGGCCCTAAAAATAACAAATAACTATTAGTATTTAGGGCCCCCACCGGGGGGGGACCCTTTTTTTTTTTTTTAATAGTGAGCAGCCACAGGCGGTATTGCGAGTAGGGGCACAATTTACTAATACTAAGTAATTTTTACTTAGTATAAGTAACTTAATAGGGGGCGGACCTAACATCGCATATGTTCGCCGTCCGTGGCAAATGCGAACACGCTATGTTCGCCAGGAACTATTCGCCAGCGAACCGTTCGGGACATCACTAACCATGAATCCTCAAAATTGCTCATCATAATATTATTTATTTGTTTGTTCAGAATGTATCAAGTTTGAGTTTCTTTTAGATTCCTGAAAATTCCTGGAAATATTATCGCAACAAAGTATGACGATCTACAATGAGGCATATGGAATTTAAATTTATAGAATTAAATTGTGCATTCCTGGCCTTGTTGCTCAGTGTCCTCAATCACTGTCGGGAGTGTTCGAACCACTATGAAATTTAAATAAGTTATTGTCAAAAAACAGTCTCACTTATTCACTTATGAACATAAAGTGACTGAAAATGTGGCTCTTTGTATAGACCTAGAACAGGGATTATTAAAAAATAAAATTAAAAAAGGACTAATTTCAAGAATGGATATATCAGTAAGTATATCCACACATCAAGTGATCACTTTAACTCACTTTAAGCTGAAAAAATATTTAGAGATATAATTACTTATATTAATTTAAATCAGCATATTAATGGATTACTAGGAACATTTACAGTTCCTTAGAATTGAATAGAATATTTACAACCTGTACTCTGTATGGAGATTTTAAAAAGTAAAGCAAAGTTCTAAAATTTGGGCATTCATCAAAATAGAAATCAGTTGGTAGCTTCTACTTAAGTGGACACTATAGACACCAGAACAACTACAGCTTGAAGTAGTTGTTCTGGAGTCTATACCCTGTCTCTGCAATGTGCAGCACTGACATTCAGCATCTCCATGATTTGCATGGAGACAGGGAATGCTCCCCATAAAGATGCATTAATTCAATTCTATGACACGCTATGTTCGCCAGGCAAGATGCTAATTGGTGCTGTGCAATAGCCTTGGATTGGCTGAGATCATTAATTTTGATTATCTCAGCCCAGAAGACAGATTGTGGGCAGAACAAGTTGTGACAGACCCACATGTCACTGCAATAAACGTGAGTAAACTAACTTTTTAGATAGGTTACAGGAATTTTTAGATAGGTTGGGGGGGTTAAATTGTGTTTCTACAGCTATTGTGACATGAATACATGTTTGTATTTCTGTTACTATTAGACACGTGCATGGGAAAAATTTTCGGTTCGGCATTCCGAAATTTGGGACTTAGGCAATTCAGAACTTCGGCATTTCAGTACTTCGGATCTTCGGCCCTTCGACACTTCAGAATTTCGGCAACTTTGGAACTTCGGCATTTCAGTACTTCGGATCTTTGGCCCTTCGACACTTCGGAATTTCGGCAACTTTGGCACTTCGGCATTTCAGCATTTCAGCATTTCGGGACTTCGGCACTTCGGGACTTCTCTTGCAGCCACTTAGTAGAGAACTCCCTAATTCCCACAGTATTAGGGAGTTATCTACCAAAAGGCTGAAAGACCTAAATTGGTCTTTCAGCCAAATTTACTAATACTAAGTAAAAATTACTTAGTATTAGTAAATTTTGCCCCTACTCGCTATACTGCGAGTAGGGGCATGTCTATTAAACAGTGAGCAGCCTCTGGCTGTAAAATCATGGGGGAGGACCTATTGTCCTCACCCCCGGCCCCCATTGAGCGGCGGGTGGGGGCACTAAATCATTACTTTCAATCCACCAATCAAAGAGCTCAGTCTGCGCGGAGCCCTCCATGGGTGAAGAAGGAAATTTTTTTTTTATTTTTTTTACGTGCGTCGGTTATTATAGATTTTTTTATCTGGCCTTTTTTGGGGCTGAAAAAAGAAGATTTTAGAAGAAAGAAAACATCAAATGGTAAGTTTTACTTTATTTTTACAGGTACTTAGTTAATGGTCCCCCCCTCATTATTTTTAGTGTGAGGGGGTAGGTAGGGGTTAGTTTTTTGGGGGAGGGGGGTCAATAGGGGTTTGGGGATCCCTAGTCACCTGGGGCAGGGAGGGTTATTTTTTTATTTAGGGCCCCCACCCACAGCTCAGGGGTGGAGGCCAGGGGGCGGGCATTAGCCCCCCTTGTTCTAATTTAGGGCCCCTACCCACCGTTCAGGGGTGGGGGCCAGGGGGAGGACATTAGGTCCCCCTCTTATTAGTATATAGGGCCCCCACCCACCACTCAGGGGTGGAGGCCAGGGGGAGGACATTAGGTGTGTCCCCTTATTAGTATTTAGGGCCCCCACCCACCGCTAAGGGGTGGGGGCCGGGGGGAGGATACTAGGTCCCCACCATCATTTTACTTTAAGGCTCCCACCCCCACTCAGGAGTGGGGGCCAGGAGGGGAGGACATTAGGTCCCCCCCCCAATTGGTATTTAGGGCTCAGGAGTGGGGGTCAGGGGAGAGGACATTAGGTTCCCCCCCTTATTATAATTTAGGGCCCCCACCCACTGTTCAGGGGTGGGGGCCAGGGGGGAGGACATTAGGTCCCCCCCTTATTAGTATTTAGGGCCCCCACCCACCAAAATCTGCTTTTGGATTACACAGCCATGTTACTGTGCTGCTACCCACCCCATTCAGTGTTAATACAACATTTTGCAGCAAGGTGAATTGTTAGTAAGAGGTTTGCTTTGATGTTGGCAAGTGAACGTAAAATGTAATGGCCATTGCAGTGACACCAAAACCACTTAAATGGACCTAAATGTATGTAACCAAAAAAGGACACCTCAAATAAAGGCGCTAGAATACCTGACTTGGCTGGTGTCATCTCAGGGGTA